GGGGGGGGGCGCGGCGGCCGGAGGCTTTTTTGCCTGGGGCGGCAAAAAAGCCAGAGCCGGCCCTGATCTGAAGGACATCAAATTGGGGTTCTTGCTAAACAATGGTGAAAGTAAGCTCTAGCTAGGAGTATACAGCATGGCCCAGTGGATAATGCATGGATTAAGACTCAGGAGACCTGAATTCTATTCTTAGCTCTGCTGGGTGACTTTGGGCACATCACCCCAGCATATGCCTCAGTTTACCCATCTGTGGAATGGAGATAAAACAAGGGCCTCTTTTCTAAAGTGCTTTTAGATCCGTTGATGAAAAGTGCTATATAAGAGCTAGTTATTATTATTATTGAAAACTTCCTGGGCTCTAGCCTGCTGTTGATTAAGCTATAGGACTGTTTACCTGAGCACTCAAATGTTACAGTTTCACATAGGGAGAGGTGGTCTCCTAGATACTGTGACCAAAACCATTAAAAAATTAAAATTCAGCCTGCTCTTCCAGTTCAGTTATTTCATGACACTGCTGTTCTCAAAGACCCTGGCGCTCCTGACTATAATTTCCCTTTTACTGTTCTGCAGTATGCTGGGCACAAGTTAGTTGCTTCCCTCTACCCCAGAAGTTGCTGCCCTTCAGAAGTGCAGTATCTACAGAACTTCTGAAGTGCTTTGGGGTGAAAGAAACAAAAATTCTTAGAGGTTGGCTGTACTCTGAAAAGTGATTATGTAAAATTATCAACATCTTACACAGCAGACCGGCTTCTTGTGCATATTTAGACCTAGATATGTTGATCAAGAGATTATGGCTTTTTACTTCTTCTTACACTGTGGTCTATTATTTCTTCTGCATCATCCAAATCTTAACATTGAAGTTCAACGTCCAGGATCAATCCGATTCATCCATGCAACTGAAGGCATAATTTGAAGACAACGGGGTTGCACAGTTGCCACTGAGGGCAGAATATGGCCTACAGAACCTTTATTACGAGGGAAAATGCATGATATGGAAAAAAAACAAATGATTTTCAGATTCCAGGTTGAGTTTTCAGAGCTGGCTATTAGGAATATATAACTTTTTACTTGTAAACTGAGCACATTTATAAGGAGCCATTGAGATGCAATGGAAGAAGGAACTTAACAATGCCATTGTTAGAGTCACTTTTCAGAGCTGAACTGTATTGGCAGCAAACTTAAAATGATTGGCTGCACTTTGTCCATGCTATGATTAATCATTTTTGTATTTGGATAACAAAATAAATACAGAGATGATATATCATGCTTTAAAAAGGCAGCTCTTGTGTAAACAGAGTAAATCTTTTCAAGAAAACGATGGCTTTTTGGCAGATGAACTTTGTGCACCTGCATAACAAGTGAATGACTTGATAGCCTGTAAGAGCTTCATTTATCCTTGACCAATGAGGCATTGACATATGCAGAATTTATCAGCTTCAGGTTTTTACATAGATAAGTGAACTTAGTGTTTGTGGAAGGCATAGGACTAATAGTCCTGGACAATGAAGCTCTCTTTATATACAGAATTGGACAGAGCAACACAAGACTATGTAAGTTTCCCCACACTTCACTGTCAATGATCTGCTGTTCATCGGGGGCTAAATCTGAGTCTAAATGGGTAGCTCTGTCTCCATGACCCAGGCGGTCCTTGATTGCAGTCTCAGCGGAGGGACTACAAGATGCTAAATGACACTATTGGCTTTTATGACACAGATGTACCTGACACTACTGCAGCATTTTATGAATCCCACCAAGCAGCTTTCACTGTGTGACCTTTGTCCTAGCCAACCGAGTCGGATTTGAAGCAGCAATTTAGAGGAAGGGAAGGCTTTCTGTTCTATTACCAATCCCTTGAGCTACCCAGTTTCATTTATTTATTTCGAAAGAAAACAAATCCACCATGATAAAAGGCATGAAAATGATTCAGAGTAAAAAAAATGTTTAAGAAAAAAATGGTGACAAGAGAATGGATCTGAGAACTCCAGCTGAACCTAAGCCCTTTACCCACTCCATTGTGGCTAGCTATTACAGCAACAAAAATGAGAAGTGAAATCACCTGCTGTTTAGAGCCCCTTGCCCTATCTATGCACAGCCGGAGAGGGGTGTGTGCGAGGATACAGTCTCAGCCTTAACTGTGAATTTCCTGCCTTAGGCTGGCTTATGTCACCACCTTACCATTATTTAAAGGGTAATTTCGCTTGTCTGTGACTACAGAAACTTGAGAGTTAAACCACTTGGCATTTTATAGGGAGGAAAGCTTTGGCTTAAGTTTCCTTTTACAAGAGTAAAGATTTGACAAGCTTGGCAGCTGAGTATGTATATTAATATATTCCTCCAGGGAAGAAAATCTATAGAAGATATAATTTCTTTCACAGGCCACACAACTAAAAACTCTAAGGGGGCCTCTCATTAAAACATTTTTTTGACATTCACTTCCTCACAGAATACAACCTAAGAGGATATTTTCTCATTTTGATGCACACAAATGTATGCATGTAGCTCCAGTGGCTGCCAACAGGAGTAGCACATCCACTGGAGAAAGAAGATCTCCCTCCAGACAATCATTGCTCAAAATGTTTCCTCATCTTCCTCCTCTATCTCTCCGCCACTCCCAAATCTATCAGCGCAGATCCTTTTAGATAATGCCTTATACTTCTATAGTACATCTCCTCTAGCAGGATGGGAGCCCAAGGTACTTGTAATACGGTGGCCATCATCTGAGCACCTCCTCATGGCCAAAGGTTGCTCTGCGACAACCTGCCTCTGTTTTCCCCATTTTCACTGGGCACCAAAGATCCACCTCATTTTCCTCTTGTACCAGGGGCTGATCTAAGTTCCTGCCTTCCCCCAGCATATGGGACACAGGAAGGCTTCTCCCCAGCTAAACAAGCACTCATTGCCATGCCCAGTCTCCTTTAAATAGGTTTATTTGTCCAAATATAAGCCCATAACAGACAAAACAGTTCCTCAGCTCACTCTTTCTCCGAGGGTATCACGGCCTCTCCTCCAAGGGTCTCTGGTAATCATGCTTTTTGCAGCTTCCCAGTCCCAGCCAGCTTCCCTTCTCAGCCATCTCCCTTCTCACAGACAGATCTCATTCAGCCAGCTCTGCTCCCAGCCAGTTCTATTCCCCTTTGGGAACACTGGCCACAGGGCTATCTCCCTGACCATCTGGCCACTTGTTCCAGGACCTACCACTGGAGTAAGCTCCCTCAGTGGTTTCCTCTCCCCAGGCAATGCCAGTCCCAAACACTCCTCCTCTTCCTGCTGTCTGATAGGGCTTTATAGCCCCTGGTTTAGCACGGCCCCCTTTAATTGGCTCAGTTGGGCCCACCTGCTCTGACTTGGGGGTAGTGGGCCTGGTCTACTCACAGGGACTAGCTACTCAGTGACAGTGTTTTAGACTGAATATATAAAAGGGAACTGATGGAAAGCAGAGGTGTGTGGGGGACAGACATTCCTTTTCATGGAGGATTTTGAGATTTCAAAATTTGATTTCAATCCAAATCAGAGCAAAACCAGAAAACTTCAGAATTGTCCGTGAAGTATTATTTAAAAAAAAATGGTTATGGGTCATTTAAAACATTAACTTTTGGAAAAACTAATGTTTCAATTTTGACTTGTTACCATTTTTGCATTATAATAAATATATAATATGATAAAAAATAGAATTCAAGATGGAATGTCATTTCAAATGAGAAACTGAGACATTTCATTATGAAAATGTCAAAACAGGATGTTTGGACACCGTTGGGACCTTTTTTGCATTTTTTTCCTAAACAAAATACTGGCAAAATTGACTCGATTTCACAAAGCATTTCTATTTTGACAGAACTGCATGTTCCAGTGGAATACTGTTCCATCAAAATTTTCTCTGATCAGCTCTAAAAGAAAGCCTGACTCATGGAAAATGTATTTGATGATGTACTACACAGTATAATCCTCAGTTGGCTGAGGGTGGCCTACGCAACCTAAACAGCATTTTCCCCATCTGTGACCCTTACAATTCTGTGTCTCACTTCAGCCACCATTGATATGCTGCATATGGGAAAAGACAAAGCAGTTATTCCTGCAACAGGAATACCACATAAGCCTTTTGTCCTGTATGCAATTGGAACTACAGTACGGGGAAGTTTTGAGTAAAAGATAGCATAAACGCTTTAGTAGCAATTTTTTCATGATCGTAGCAACTAATTTCCAAAAAGCATTCTAGCATCTTTAATGCAGGTAAGTGGCCAGAGCCCCAGTGTTATGTTTCAGCTGAAAAACAACCACTCTGTGCAGTGCAAAGTCCCTTAGACACACAGGACAACTGGAGAAACACTACCTCAGAGGCAAGAGTAACTTTTTCTAAATCACCATCATCAGCACTTCATGCAACTTCCCGGGTTCCGCTTGGAAGTCTCCTATCTGAACAAGGTCTAGGCTGCACCCTGTTCACATAGGGAAATTGAAGCCCAAGATGTTAAGTTATAGAGGTTGTTCTCTTATGGGCACAAACATAAACTGACATAACCTCTCAGTTGTTCGATTGTTTCTTTAAAGCCTATTTGACTATGAGATTCTTCAGCATGAAAACATTTTGCATCTGGCTGTCAAGCAACAGATGCTCATTTTACAAATTAAAAAAGGGTGTGTGTGTGTTTGAAATGCCCCAAGGAAAATTAGTCTCTGGATAACACAAAGCAGATCAGGGGAATGCTCAAAACAGCTTTTAGAGAGAGTCCCATTACGAGAAAATAAGGAGGCCTGTTTTAGAGGAAACGATATGTCACCAATGAAACCAAATTAATTTCATGTCTGGCAAGGAGAATTATTTGTCATGTATGGCAGTTTCAATAAAGAAGCCATTAGACTTCATTAGTGTAAAATAGACAAATGTAAGGTAAATTCATCTCATCTTGCTTTAAATGCAATTCGCTCTCCACTACCTGAATCCGTCTTTATTTGCCTCAGTGAGATGGCAGGTCCCTCCATTCTGGCATGGATTCTGAATGCAGGCATTAATGGGCATATTGCAGTCTCGACCCTATTGGGAAAAGTTCAAGAAAAATTCAGTTATTAACACACAGAGCAGCTGGACTAATCTATCTTGTGTATTGGGCTTTGTTTTCATTTTCCCATTTGCACTGACACAAAGGATGTAGTCTTCAGAGCAATCACATCACCTAGCATTCTTTACTGAATGACAGACATTGCCTAAACCAGGCTTTTGGGAAGGCAGGGCTACAATAATGGCTAGTATTGGTGAGTGTATCGGGCTACTGTTTGGTTTTGAAGTCTCTGGCTAGTTATTTTTTCACCTGTTGGTTTGGAGAAAGCTGTTGGTTTTAACTTTATAGAATATACTTTATTCTTTAATATTAATTACACATTGAAATGAGCAAATAATTCCGATGAGAGGTACACCCAGAGCAGTGCAGAATCAGTATGCACTCAGCAGCACTTACAAGTACTCAGTCAAGTGTTATGGCAGCACACAGAACTCAATACTAAGGATGGCCAACGCTTGAAGGTAAAAGCTTATGTTTTCTGCTAGGAGGCCAAGCTGAAATTCCTCTACAAAATACAGTGAAATCTATTTAAAATAGCATCCTTACTAAGCAGCCTTGTGTTTTTAAGAGAACATCCACAAATATCTCCAAGTGCATCAACTACTATAATTTTGCCCCATCTTTACTAGAAGACTACCTGTGTTAAGCAACTGATTTTTGTTGGTCCTTTGAGTGGCTGTTAAAGCAGGTTCCACTGGACTTGTATCCTGCTGGCAAAAGCTGAATTTGCTATGGAGTTGATATCTACATCACAGTGACTGGTCCTTTCCTTTGAGTTATTTCAGAACAGATTATAAGTTTAGGAAGTCTCTGGTCTGCCGAAGTCTGTGCAATCACAGGAAACAGAAGGGATCTGCCCAGTAGTCTTAGGAGATGATCCCTTAGCAGTGTCTCTCTCTCTATTTGATTTGCATCACCAAGTAATCCATTCAGTCAATTCTGCCAATAAATAACCACACTCTAAGATAAGAAAAATATCTCAAATTAAACTAAAAGGTTATTGAAGTAACATTTTTCATTTAAAATCATGGTTCACATCCTGTGTTACTATAATAATATTTTTGTGACTAATCTGTAATAGTCTTTATATGGCTGAAGCAGTCCCCTGAGTCAACAGGGGCAGAAGAAGTGGCTGCATGCAACATTGGAGAACCTAGCTTTCACTTTAAAGTGTTCAGTGGCAGGTTTGATGATTTGCCTTCGGCTGGATTCAGGTTTGGTTAACTTCTTGCAGACCCGTCTGCACTCAGAACAAGATGTATATATAGATATGCTGTCCCCAACTCCCTCTCTTAATTGTTACATCTTGCAGTGCTCAGTCAAAACATAGGCCCCAATCCTGCCCCAGACAGGTGCAAGGGTCCACATCCATGAATCCAACTGCAGGATCAGGGCTGGAAAGGAAGCTTATCAGGGCTGTTTCAATGGCAGCTGAAGTGCCTATCATGCTATAAATACTATGTAAATACCAACAATCCAAAACCCTTGCAGGCTTGCTACCCTGGGATTGATGCAGTCTCATCAGTTTCAACTAGCCAGGAATTTTAGAAAACAACCAGTAGTCATGAGGAGCTATAGAGAAATTGTTGAATATGGTTGATAGCTGCTTTTCCCTCACATTGCTCATGATGTATATTCCATCTAGGTGCTTATATGCTCCCCACCTCAGTTACCATAGATCTGAGTCCCCCAAATGTTAATGATCAACATAGTGTGAGGTAGGGAAATATTCCCATTTTACAGATGGGAGAAACCAAGGCAGAGAGAGACTAAGCACCTTGCCAAGGTCACACAGAAGTCTGTGACAGAAATGGAAGTTGAAACCACAGTTCCTGACTGCAAATCCATTGGTTTAGCCACAAACCCCAGCATTAGGCAGAGGGGAGGGCTTGCGTTTGCTGTGCTTGTTTGTTCTCTCTCCAGGCCAAAAGGAGAAAGGGAGAACATCCATCAGGATGCTCCGATTCTGAAGGTCAGGGAAGCAGAAGACCCAGGTCCAAAAAGCAGGAGCCAGACCTGATCAAATACTGGAATGACTGGGGACTAGCAGAGCCCACTCATTCTTCTTAATTTGGGGAGTGGGCTTTGCTGGAGCTTTGCTCAGGAACTGGCACAGGTACCTTCTGCTTCACTGATACCCAAGCCTCTGCCAAACAACTTGGCATTCTCCATTTGAATCATTCACTGTAAAAGGTCTTGGGGAAGAGGGGAGGATGCTGAAAGCGAAGAGGAAAGCTCATGCAGCTTTTGTTTTGGCACTGTGTGTTCCACAGCACTTACAGGATGCCAGCCACATCTAATACACTGCCACCCGCTGCAGTGTTGCCTCTGCTTTGTCCATCTGTATTGCAAACCCTACATGCTCGACATGTCATCCTAGTGAAGCCGGGATGATGCCATGCTTAATATTTCTCAAGTGCTCAGCACAAATGCTTTCCCATATCCCTGGTAAATGGAGTATTTTGCAGATGATTCAGTACTGTAGGTATCCTTTCAACTTCACAGATACTCTGTGTTCTCTTGGCATCGAAGTCTGAAACCCTCTGTGAGCTAACTAAGCATAGCAACACGCAAAACAAAAAGCCCAGAATTTATTTTTCCAAAAGTTCTACACACACTCTCGCAACAGCCTTTCAAACACCATGTGTAACAATATTCATATTACCTTTCATGCAACTATGCACGTTTCCTTGGAAGTTACTGGTGACTATTACTAAAGATCTGTGTTAAAATGAAAGCACACCCTTCAAAAGCATTTTCTAACCCCTCGTATCTGCACATGAAATCCTGATGATTCAGAGCCCAGTTTTCACTTCTTCACTACATAAGCCTGTGTTACTGGGTTTCAGAGGCCTCAGGCACCCTGGAAATTGAACAATGTTTTCTGCTGAATCAGACTTTTAATTATAACACTAATTTGCTGTGTGACACTAGGTAAAGAGGAACCTCTGCCTCAGTTTACCCATTTCCAAAAAGTGGGATAACACAACTTGCCTCTCTCTCTCTGATCTCATGAGTGTGAGCTGTCTGTTCACCACTCTGAGTTCTTTAGAAGAAGGTGCTATGCAAGTGAAATATTTTATCGTACACAAAAATGTGGAAAACAAAGAGTAAGCAGAGACTATTTAAAATATCAGTATTGAGTAAGCTACAGCTAATCAGGCCACTTCACTTCTGAATGAGAGAGACCATGCAGGGGTCTAATGTGCTTTAACTTCACAGCTTGAGTTAATGCATCTTGACTTTCCTGAGTGTTCCTATATAGACGAGCCCTAAGACATGCTGAAAACATCTTTCAAATAAAGATTGCAAGTCTCTGGTCCCAATTTACAACAATACTGGCATATTTGTAAAGGATTAATTTCTTTAAATGTCAAGCACCAATCCTCAACTCAGTTCATTTACTCTTGAACTGAAGACAACTCTTTGACCTACATACCCTGAAAATTAATTGTCTGTTCTCAAAAAGGGAAAACATTGAACATTTGGTCCAAGACGAAGGGTGTGTGAATTAAGCTGGAACTGGAAAAGGAGGTGCAAGCTTTGCTTCCAAAGATCTGGCCCGTAGACAAAAACAACATGATTGTCTCAGTGATTCATGTTGCTAGATTGGAGGGTCTCCTTTTGACTGTAACTCTTATTTTTAGGGATTTGTAACTCTACTCTAAACATTTTGTTGTAGTTTGATGGTAAAGCAAAAGCATCAGCCTAGAGACATTTTCTGATGAGTTTTGCAAAACAACACCTGCCCACCCCAAAAAAATCTGCTTGGCTACTCCCATAGAAGAGGGAAGGAACAACATGGATTTTGACATAAAGTTCCTACAAATGGCAAGGCAGAGTGCATACACGTCAGGACCACATTTGGATTTCACATGTACCCCTGTAAATCTGGAGTAAATCAACCGGCTCCAACTTTAGTAGAGTTGCTCCAAATGAACATTCCTGTGAAAAAGCAGAATCTGGCCCACAGAAAACATAAGTTCTTCTTTTAGTCCCAGCACTAATTTAAATAAACGGTACTGAACAGTGCTGTACATACAGGCTGTAGATCACAAGAATTGTATCAGATTTTGGACTCAATTACTGGCCCGTACTTATTACATTTTCCAGGATCAAATACATCATAACAGCAAAAAGCCAAGAAGAATTGGCATAAACCAACGGAGAGTTGGGCAAATGGGGCAAAGAGAGGTTATGTGAATACATGTTTGATGAAAAAACACATTTGCTTTGATAATATTTTGACCATTTAAATTGGTTTGCTGTCATAATGTGGAAAGTGAATATTTGTTGGTGCAATGGTTTGTGACATACAAGTTCACCAAGCCATCTGATATTTTGGGTTTTTGTCCACCTACTTCTAAAAGGGTCAGCCAGTCACAGAGAATCCTACTAGTTCATCATACCCCAGAAAGAGGGCTTCATCCTGCACTACTGAAATCACTGTGTTTGACCAATAACTTCAATGGGCGCAGCACCGAGCTCATAATGAAGAGACAAAGTTAAAGCAACTACTTCATGGACAACCCGTACGCTGAAAAATGTTTGCATTAAGTGTCTGAACAATTAGAAATAACAGACAAAAACAGTCTGCTTTTGCACATAATACATGCACAAAAAGAAAGCCAAATTTTGTCAAATCATTGTCTGTAAATTATTTCTCCAGCTCTACCATAAATAATAATACCACCTAACATTTTGCATCAGTAGATGTCAAAGCACTTTACATTATCATTATCAGGGCTGCCCAGAGGGAGGGGGGGGCAAGTGGGGCAATTTGCCCTGGGCCCCACAGGGGCCCCCACGAGAATATAGTATTCTATAGTATTGCAACTTTTTTTTATGGAAGGGGCCCCCGAAATTGCTTTGCCCCAGGCCCCCTGAATCCTCTGGGCGGTGCTGATCATTATCCCTATTTTACATATATCTGGAAACTAAGGCACAGAGCAACGATGTGATTTGTCCAAGGTCA